CTCTTTCCCCTCCTTTGACTTCCCCCCATTCAGCTTTCCACAGCCGCCAACCAAACATCTGATCGAAGGCCCGGGGGAGGGAGTCAGAACTGTCCACTCTGGTTATGAGTGAAGGTCATTGATCTAGCGCAGACCAGGGATGCGGAAAACAGAGGAGGGAGGAAAAAACCCTCAGAGAGAAAGGAGAGCAGGAGAGAAGCAGGGAGAGACAGTGTGTGAGTGAGCGCAGGGAAAGGCAGCGGAAGTGGCTGAAACATGGTTTCACACTCCAAGACCCAAGGGCTGTTGTCAACCCGTCCTTCATGCTCACATCTTGTCACACTAGAGGTCAGGTCTCCCAAGCGTTCCTGGAGAGCTGAGCTAGCCCATATGGCAGGCAATATGTTAACAATATGGATCAGCTGCTCGTCAGGGCCTGAGCAGATGGATGTGACAACCCTGCTCTTATCCCAGACAGGCTTTTAACATCTTCCCTCTCCTCTACTCAGCCATACCGGAAGAGCTCTGCCCGAGAACTACTGCCTCCAGCCTAGGTGGACCGTGGGGCCACAGGTCAGAACAGGCAGTATGGAAATACCCGCCTTGCCTCATCTGCATGGAAGCAGGAGGAGTAGAGCCCCATTCAGACCAGTGCAGGCAGGAACCAGGCCAAACTTTCATCCAGGGAGAGCGTGCTGTAAATGGAAAGACCTCGCTGTAATCCAGATATGTGCCATTAACTCCCAACCAGGATGATACAGTAGATACTGTATTCAGATATATGTATATGGCATGTTACCACCAGATGCCACATGTTACAGTCTAGACTGAGTTTTGTAACTGCCTGGGAAAATTTTCTCTCACAGAACAAGTAATACATAAATAGATGTATATTTTAATGGGCAAGTTAAACTCCTCCTGGCAAAGGCAGGCAAGTTGATTTCATACACAGGCGGGTAAATTTCCACAACGATTTTGCAAGGCTGTTTCATATTCCCCAGCCCAGCTCGGGATCTGAGCCGTCGGGGACTGCTGGGCTGGGCCCGGCTGCACTTCTGAGGAAGGCAGCGTTCCCCCCTCGCTTCATTCGCCGTCATACCTACGCCGCGATCTCAAGGATCCTAGCAAAATAATGCAGTCAATCTCGGTTCACCCCCAAATTTAGGTTTACTTTAGGATTGAAGCACGGGGAAATATTTTGCAAATTCAAACAAAAACAAAGCAGGGATTTCTAATCGTTTTCCACATATATATCTAGATTTTTTTCTGCATAACATCATCAACTGAACAAGAAAAATCCGTCCAACCCTTATAGCTCCAGGACTAAACAGCCAGCTTGTGCCTATAAACAGAAAGTGAAACTGCAATCACAGCCTAGGGATGGGCTCTGGAGAACGTGCAAGCAGCCTCTGTAGCCCAAAGTAAATTGAGCTTGTTTTCCAAGTAGAAACCATATAACTCGCTCCAGGGCTCAAGTCTGGAACACAGGGATTCCTAGTCCAGAGCACAAGCGATCGCAAAGCCACACGCCTGAAAGGCTAAAGGCATCTATCTCCCTTCACTGAAGGGATGCTTGTAAAACTAGGAGAACCTCAGAAAACAGCTGGAGTCCAGGGAAATATTTCAACTGTCTCTAATGCGCTTCTGTCCCTTAGAAAATAGCCCCCAAAGGACACTCAACTTTGCACAGACAAAGCACCCGGTAGGTGCTAGGAGAAGATGACAAACATCAGAAAGGGATTACTGATCTGCAAGCACCTGAACCCAAGCGCTTAAGGAATTCCTGATGTATCAGTCTCCTCCTCCTGCCTTCTCGTCTCAGAGGAACTGCTCATTCCAGGTCTGTGCCAGACAGACCTCCAGGGCTTCAGTGCCAGGAGTCGCACAAGCAGAAAGCTGTGAGAGCCATCACTGGAAAAGGTCCCCCTGCTGAAAAAATGGACCCAAAGACTACAGAGCAGCTTCCGCAGCAGAGCTTTTCCCCTTGATTTTGTGCCTCTGGAGATAAATTAAGGATGTGTGGCAGCAGATTCACCTGCTGCAGTCAAATCTGAGAATCTGGGTCTTATTGGTAAAATCTCAAGGCTCCCTCTTGTTCCAGCAGCGTGCTCCCTTCAGCAGAGCTCGGATTAGGCAAGCCCTCTCACCTCTGGAGCCCCAGGAGGGCGCTTGCCTCTGCTTGGAAAGGGCACACAGGCGCTTCAGCAGCTCATGCAGGGATAAGGGCCAGAGTTCCCTTCGCTAATAGTTCAAAACCAGCCTCTCCAAATAAAGCATGCCAGACCCTGGAGGAGTTTGAGCGCTAGGAAGGTGTGGGAAGGCACTGTTCACCCATATCCCATCCCAAAGCACACTTTACTGGCAGATTTACTGAAAGCACTCAGTTCTGCAGGTTCTGAGCACATGGCAAGAACTAAGCCCTGCTGAGTCTTAGAGGATCACGGCTGTTGCTCTTTAAGGTAAGGCACCCAGAACATGAGTAAATTCCTTCCTGCCACACACAGCCAAGGATGGACAGCGATAGCTGAAGCCCTAGACCAGCCCCATGACTTTCCCCTTCTTCCCTCTTCCTGAGCCAATACTGTCCCTCCACCCTGGTTCTTCTAAGTTCAGGTTCTCAAGCTGCACCAGCATGGCCCTGTCTCAGCTGAATCTGTGCCTCAGAACAGCTTTGGATACGTTGCTTTCCCACAGTATTATCTGTGGCACAGAAGCAGCAAAAGCTAGAGCAACTTCAGGATGCACTTCAGGATGCTTATCTTCATTCAGACATCACCATCATCTAATGGTGTCAACACAGTATGGAGATACCCCCTAACAAAACCTCCACCTCCTACAGATTAGACATAACAGCATCATACATAGCCCAGGCACCGCCAGGATCCTCAGCCCCTCCTACCTGAAGCAGTATGGCAGTGCCTCCAGGGTAGTTCCCAACCCCCCAACCATCAGGAAGAGATACTTTATCCCACTGTTATCCTACAGTTGCTCTCCTCTGGGTCATGCTGTGCCATACCTTTCTTTGTAGAGAAGCTGTGATGGGAGTCAAGCAGTGAAGAAAGTAAAATGGCTTTTAGAAAAGCAGAGTCCCACCCCCTCACAACCATGCTGAGTTTCCCACCAAGACCACAGACATTTTAAAACTCCTCATCTTTGTGACGCAAGTCAATCAGAAACTGCCCCACTCAGAACTCACCCAGGGGACTCCCTTGGCCGCCTGTTCAGGCACACCGCTTTGCTAATCGCTAACACTGAACACTAGCCCATTTTGAAAAAGATGACTAAGATGGGGAGCTATTCAAACCAACTCTTTGCTGTGTCCAGGAGGTGCTGAAATGGGCAGCAACGCCAGGCACATGATACAGACCCAGTCCTACTTGTAAGCCAGCCCAAGACAAACCAACACCCCAGCATGCATTCATGACCCAAACGCTGACTTCCAACAGCTCTTCTAAACTTCATAGGCTAGAGAGACATTCCCTGGGGACTTGACTGGATGCTCTAGAGAGCCCAAATCAGTCCAGTTCTACTTCAGAGCAGAGGGATTGATCACAGAATTAAAGCGAGTACCTTGCATTGAGGAGTCACAGGTTTCAAGGTCCATTCCAAAGTACAAAGCCAGGAGAGAAGTCAGGATCTTTGTTTTGGAGGTGGTCTCAGGTGAAGACAGTGTGAATCTGATGAGTTCCCTTCACTTGGTGAAGTCTCTTTGCCCTGAGGAGAGGTTCAAAAGGAAGTGAATATTACTTACTGAGCGCTACAAGAGCCCAGGTGAATCACGAGCACAAGCAGTGACGCTGGCCTCAAATGCCACAGCCACCCACAGACTTCAGCCCTCGGTCACACACAACAGCCCAGCAAGGCAAGGCGTTCCAGACCTTGCCAAACACACTGCATCCCAATCCCCTTTTCTGCCATTTGTGATACTAACAACTCAAAAGGTCAGGGTACAAACCCCCTCGGTGACCATCCAGTGGGCCACACACTCAACTTTCCCCCAAGAAAAGCCCAGGCCAATGAGAAGCAGAAGCCTACAGCACTACGCCATTTATCGCAAAGAGCTCCCCGCTGTCGCCAGCTGAGCATTTCTGCACATGTAAGATCACGATGCCATCCCTCCTTTGGCGGGGTGGGGGGATCATTCGCTTGTGTTTGCATTACAGCTACCAGTACAATAGAGCTCTGTCGTCAATCTTGTACACCCCCACACCAAATGTAATTCCCTAGTCCCAAAGACATTACAAATATAACCAGACGAGACAAAGGAAGAATTATTATTTCCAGCTTACTGAGGCACACAGTAATTAAGTGACTTGTTAAAAGTCACTCCGCAAATCTGTGGCAGAATCGGGAACTGAAATCTCTCAAATTTCAGTCCGAGAGCTGGACAACGAAAGTCCCACCTCCCTTCCTGTTCTTCTTGGATGTATACTTCCACCTCTGCAACAGGTTTCACCCTTCTCCCCCACTTTCCAAAGTCAGTTAAGACAATTCCCTTCCATTTCCTGTGTTGGAGGAAATGGATAAATACACCAGATTAGAAGAACAAGAACTTTTACCTTACTTACAAAATTAAAAATGTCCTAGCTTGAACGTTTGACAGAAGCTCAGAAGCTTTGGACTCTTCTGGGAGGTGGGATTTCTAGACTGGATGGTTTTTTGTTGTCGTTTTTTTTTTTTTAATTTCCATCAGACAAGAATAAAAGAAGCAAAACAAAAGAGGGCTGTTGAGATCAATTTGTGATAGGTGCTGGGCCAAAGAAAATGGAGCCAAAGAAGTCAGAACCCTGCAACCAGCAACCTTTGTGTCAATTTAAGCAAATATTGTGGCGTTTCCATGGCAATCCCTGTTTTGAATATCCACTACACTCACTTTTTAAAGGGCTTTTCCTGTTTGCGTTTCAACTTCAAAACCTGTAAATATTTTTGGCCTTAACACATCCCTACCTCCCCCAACCCCTGAAATCAGCCGCTATCAAAGCCGTGACGTGAAGTCCTCTGTCTGAAGTACGCCAATGCAGTGAAAATTCACAGCAAAAGCAGGCTGGCAACCCACCATGTCTGGGAACAGCAGAAGCGGGGCTGGACCTTTGTCCCGCTCTCTCAGCGGTGCCAGGCTCTTTGCAGCAGTAGGTACAGGAGCCTGTTTCTTTTTCACAGCCCGATGGGTGAAACGAGCGCTCACAAACACACGGCTCTGATAGCATCGGCCCAAGGCAAGGAGAGCGCAGCAGGTGTTTCGCAAGCCTCCCTGCACCCCGCTCTGCCAGCTCCGGTCACCTCTGACCCACCATACCAGCGACTGTTGCTGCTGGAAGCCTCTTCCGGCCTGCTGCCTCGCACAGCCCCACCGCTGTCCCCCCGTCCTGACCTGCGACTCCTTTCCTTCTGCCCTAACCCCAACTGAACCAAAGCTGTCAATCACAATGATTTATGTCATGCTGCGTCATGTGCAAGCGGGAACGAAGAAGAGTTAACTTTGTCCTCACTTGCAACCTGAAGGAGGGTTCAAATTCTCAGGCTTCCTCAGAAGCAGCTTGCAGGTACCTGCTCAATCACTCCGACTTTGCTCCACCAACATAGAGCCCACGGGGAAAGTCCTCCGCTGGTGCAACGTGCCTTGGTCAGGTGCCGGTATCAGCTGTCAGATCTGAGCACCAGGAGGCTGGTATTAACCCTCTCTCCAAAGCACAAAGCCGCACATGCATTTAATGCCACTTTCTGCAAGACTCGAGGTGCATGCAAACACCTCCTGCGGCCCTTCAGAGCCCGGTGAGGGACAGGCAACCCGGAGCCCCCGCTTTCTGCAGCTTCGGCCTGGGATGCCAGACTGCAGCCCCTCCCGGCAGCCGTGGGAGTGCACTGGTTAATTCTGAGTTTCCTGGCTGTGATGGATTTGTGCCAGGCCTCAAATGTTAGCTTAGTGTAATTTTTGGGAAGTCAATTTCCTTTGTTTTTTTTTTTAAACTTGTTGTTTTTCTTTTTGGTTTAAATTTCTTTTTTTCCTCTTCTTTTAAATGGAAAAGTAGGAGCATTCAAATAAGCATCAGGACAGGGCCGTCCATCCATAGATCATAGTTTCCCAAGAGCATTTTATAGGCACCATGGTACGTGCACAGAACAACCACGGAAACAAGCACCAAGTGGCTTCAAAAGCCGTTACGCTGAATGCCCGCAGAGGCATTCAGCCCGCAGCCCCCAGGCGAGCGGGCCCTACTCTCACACCAGCAACGTCGCTCCTCCGTCCTGACCACCTCTCCCACAACGCCGGGCGCTTCGGATGCCAGGAGACAATGCAGGATGCCTAGTGTCCTGGCCAGGTTCCAGCTCAGGTAATTATATCTTACAGCAGTTTCAGTTGGATATTTTATCCCTTCTTCACTTCCGGTCCTGGACTGTTGCACAGGGAGTTGCTAAAACAGCTGTTCAGTCCCACCCAGGATGTGAGTGCGTGCCGGGCGGCTGGAGGGAATTCAGAGCCCCGGCGCTACAGCATACAACCTCCTTCGCAAACATACAGGGACATATGTTCTTACCCACATCCCATAATACCCCCAACGGAAGAGTGATGTGTGGACCTGGCAAAACAAAATGAGCCTCCATTCAGGGAACCTCCAGTTTCTGGAGGCACGTGCTTAACGCTGTCGAATGGAGCGGTCATTTGGCACACGGACACTGGCTGTTCTCCTTCCTTGCAGGCAGGCCCTCCTTCCAGCACCCCACCAGCACGGAGAACCTAAAACTTGTGGCGCCAGCGGGGAAGGCTAAGGACTCGGCGCTCAGCCTGCCTCGGCTAACAGCGTCGCATGCCACGAGGGACACGAGCGGTGCTGAACGTGAAGGAAAGCCCGGGCCAGCTTAGAGCGCCCATGAGAACGAGCCCTCGCAGCGTTCATGATGAGGCAAATCAAAAAGTGACGGTCAACACCGACCCCTTTGCCGCTAACAAGCCACAAACAGGAAAGGCTTGCAGGGCAACGCTGGACCGTCTCCCCAAACCCTGCCAACATGCAGGGTTCAAAGGGCAAGCAAAGATGCCAGCCCTCCGGCCTCCCAAGGGAGCTGCCCTTGGGCTCTCCTCACAGCCACAAGAATTCAGAGCCCTTTGAAGCCATCCAAGACGCAAGGAAACGCCGACCCACCGACCCACTCTCCACTCGGGACAGCTCAGAAGCCCCCGTGCTTTGTAAATGGGCTCTATCAAAACTCTGTTTCATGCCCCCTTTGTCTTCTTCTCTTAGAAGATTCTGGACTAGCTCCTCACCGGGTGTAAAATCAGTGCAGTTTCAGCGGCTTCGGTGAAGTCATGCCAGTTTAAACTAGTTGAGGATCCGGCCCTCCAAGTTACTGGAGTTGCCAGTTCTTCCTTTGGATAATCCCGAGGGTGATTTCACAGCAAGCAGCAGCACAGGCCCAGCCAGACTGGCAGGATCAGCTGAGCTTTTCTACCCCCCACGAGCAGGGCGGTCTGCGGCAGAGTCCCTAATGCGAGACCCTGCTGGAGTAACACCAGGCATATCATCTTCTGCTTCTTGTACTGAGTTTTCTCCTCTCTGTGAGAGATAGATACAGCCCACAGCAAAGGCCTCTAGGCTTTGGATCTCGATTTCCTAATTGCTATGAGCGGGGAGCTGTTGCCTTTCAGGGGACTGTCCCATACAGCACATCGAATGGCAAGAGTTACAAGTGCGTTTGGAGGAGGTGCAGGAGCAGAGCTGGTCACCCACCCAGCAGCAAAACTAAACCAGTTCAGGTCTTTGCTCGCTGCTGTGGTAATGGATGTCTCTCTGAGCAAACCAAGTGTGGTCTTCCCCTCCCTGCACGCCTGTACTCGGAGGAAGGTGAAGAGCCCATCACTGCCTGGCAACTGATGAGCGCTGAGTGAGCAGTTACGGATCCCTTACTCGTCCCCAGGTCCGCTATCACCCTGCCATCTCCCCGAACCCCAGCTACCCGCGAGGGAACAGGCCGCCCGGGCACAGAGAACGTGGCACGGCTTCAGCAGGCACAGGGTGCACAAGAACTTTCTGTGCTCTGCCCTCACAAGTCCTTCGCCATCCCCCCCCAGAGCAATTTTCTAGGCAACAGCGCGGTTGCATTCCCTTCCCTATCTCCTAATAAATATCATGCTAAGCAAGATGAGTATCTTCTTCCCAGACCAAGCAGCATGACCCACTTTCTGAATCAGGGCAGATGCAATTGGGCCCTGGAGTCCTGGACCCCTCCCAAAGCTGAGAGATTTTGTAACAATTACAGCAAGAAGCAGAAGGAATAGAAAAGTAATAAGTGATCAAAGAGTGCAGTGGTGGAGCTGAAGCTGTGGTAATTACTGCTCCTTGCCATCCTACGCTCTGGCATTTTCCTAGGACACTGAAGCAACAGCCCCATGCACATTCGCACATCTCTCCTCCGCTGCCCTACATTCCTCAAAAGTAACAGGTCCAATTTCAGATTCTGGCCAACGGCCCAGGCGAGGACAACTGCTGCCCTCCCCGCACACCCACCCAGACCTTTCCCCTCCTCTTCTCCTTTCCCCAGCGCCGAGCAGGAACAGCGCATTCAGATTCTACCAGCCCAAATCCCCCTTCCAGCGGAGATGCGTCTGCACATCCTACCCTGCCCCATTAGCAGCCTTCAGGCGTTTAACACGGCGGCTGTGCCCACGGCGTCCCAGAGCTGACATGTGGCTAGTTTGCCATCCAGCACCAACTTCC